CACAAGTGGTAGCTCTTGTTAGGAGCACGTTCTGTGTGTTTAGGTTTTAACGATGGATATTCCCAGCCCCCGCCCCCGGGGAATACTGAGTCCAGTAATCCTCACTCACCTACCTCTCTGCACCCACACTTTGCCTTGCCCCTTCCTGTAATTCTGGTGATAAACGAAACCTCATCGAATCTGAAGATGCAATATTTCAAATTTTTGCATCTCCCATGTCACCAGGCATCTTACAGTTGATGGCATCTTATAATTGATAGATTCTTTTCTTTAGTAGTCATCTGTCTTTAAAAAAAAAAAAAGTGATCCAGGAATCAATAGTGCTTAGCTATGACAAGTGTAACAACTCAGAATAAACCACAGCCAACTGGTACCCCCAGAGTTCCCATTGTGACCTAGGCATCAGCTGTTCTAATGAACAGAACCAACAGAGCAGGTCAGAATGAAGGCAAGGTCCTGGGTCCAGAATCTGTGAGATCCTCCTAGTTTTTTTGCTAGAGGTGACACACACTGTGCCCAATAGTGAAAGGTCCAAGAGGTGCCAGAAATTTGGAGAAAGTTCCATTGATGGGATGGATACATCACCCTGCCAGAGATCTGGGCTTTTCTATTCTACTCACTCTTGAGGTTTAATGTTAAAAACTTTTGAACCTACAGAAAAGTTCCAAAAATAGTACAACAAACACCCACATGTTCCTCATTCAGATTCACCGATTGTTACCAGTTTGCATATTTGCTTCCCTCCCCTTTACCTTCTCCCTCCCTATGTGTGTGTGTATATATGTCTGGATGTATATACACGCACACATGGTTTTAGTTATTTCTGTTTATTTTAAATTTTTATTTATTTATTTTCAGCTGAGTCATTTCAGAGTTTCTTGCAGACAACATGACACTTCGCTCATAAAAACTTCAGCACTACTATGAACAAGGGCCTCCTGCTACAAAACCATAGTGCAATGGCCTCAACAGGAAAGTTAACACAAACACAACACTACTACGTAACATATAGCCCATAGTTAAATTTCTCCGATTATCCCAACAATGGCCTTTCTAACTGGACCAGTGCTCTTTAAATAAGAAGACATTCCTGTGGGGGTTTTTTTTGTTGTTGGTTGTTTTTTTGCAGTTTTCTCCAGACTCAAATAAATGAATGTTCTCCTGTCAACTAATTCCTTTGATGAGAGGGAAAACAAAATTCATATGCCACTAGAAATGAGAAAAAGGAAACAATAATTTTTTAAAAGGATAATTTATAATTTCTCAAGATATGCATACTGATGGATCCATTCTTAACAGATTGATATCTATACATCGCTACTGTCTAGCTAACCGTGCTCAGTTTTGCTAATTGGAATAAGAGCAACTTTTTAAGAAGCAGACAGTCATATCTTGAGATTTCTTTTTGATTCTAAATTCGTAGTCTGTGAACACCAACACGTCTGTTAGGTGTCTTGATTGTGGTGGTGGTTTCAGAGGTGTAGAC